ACCGCACTGGAGCAGGTTGCCACCAGAACCTGTAGCCTATGGAAGAGCGAATGCCCACGCTGGAGCAGGTTGGCTGGTGGGACTTTTAGGACTCACGCTGGAGCAGTTTCCCCTGAAGGACTGCACCTCAGACTCACAAGGGGTGGGTTGCCCCTCGTGAGGTGTCTCTCGTTGGGCAGTTTGTGAGAAATTGCACTTCATGAGACGACTCACGTTGGAGAAGAGAGTGTGAAGATTGTCTCCCATGAGAGAGACCCCACAATGGCCCTGGGGAAGAGTGAAGAGTTCTCCTTTAGAGTGAAGAAGCAGTGGAACCAACATCAGGTGAACTGACTGTAACCTCCATTCCTTGTGCCCCTGTGCCACTCGGGGGAAGGAGGGGGGGTAAACCAGGATTGATGTTGAGCCTGGGAAGAAGGGTGGGATGGTGGGAAGGTGTTTTGCTTTTAAGATCTAGGTTTTTTTTTATTTCTCACTACTCTCCTCTGATACGTTCTTTTAAGAAATCTAACCAATGTCCCCAAAATCAAGTCTGTTTTGCCCGGGACAGTAAATGCAAGTGATCAGCCTGTCCCTATCTCAAACCTTGAGCTCTTTGATATATTTTCTTCCCCTGTCTAGCAGAGAAGGGGGGGTGAGAGAGCAGCTGTGTAGATGATTCTCTACTTCCCATCAGCGGGTGATGTCCGGCCGCTTTCCCGGGAAGCAGGGCTCCAGGATGCACAGCAGTTTCTCTGGAGTCCAAACACAAACAGCAAATGCCCCCCTTCCCTCTTCCTTCTCGCTTTTATATCTGAGCTGATGTCATATGGTATGGAATACCCCTTTGGTCAATCTGGGTCAGCTGGCCCGGCTGTGTCCCCTCCAAAGATGTTGCCCACCTCCAGCCTACCGTTGGGTGAATGTTGGCAAACCACAGCCTCGGTGCTGTGTGAGCGCTGTAGCCAAAACACTGGGGTGCAATCAGCACCCTTCTAGCTGCGACTCCGAAAACAGCACCGAGAGAGCTGCTGCAGGAAGATTAACTCCACCCCAGCCTGACCCAATACACCTTCCCATTACTACCAATGGCTTTTTCTTCCGTTTCAGTTAATTCTTCAGCTTTGATCTTGAATTGTTTTCTTCACACCACCCAAAATTATGATTTATGACTTCATGCCTTCAAAGGCCCCAGGCCTTTCTTCCATGCTCCCTCCTCTTTCTAAACTAGAGAAATCTAAACCTCATTATAAAGTTTTTGCCTATTTGTCAGAACACAAAAGCCTAAGGGAAAGTACTTAGTTGTAAAAAAAGTCAAAATTATAATTTTTTTTTAAAAAATCTAGCAATATTTAGCTATGACAAGCAGGATGTCAGCTTTTTAAAAACAATAAACACTGACCATTTTAAATATAAACTTTCAAAAGTCATAATAAATCTTAAAAGCCAGCAGGTGGCCAACACTTGTCAGAAGTGACAACAAAGCCCCAAATCCTCCCAGTAAACAATACAAAAAAGCAATTTTGAATGTTGCTCAGCTGTAATAGCTCCTTCTTTCAAGAGCTAGCATTTTCAAAACAGTTTCTCTTAAACTAAATAGTGAAGTCTTGAAACTTCATCCAACAGTATATAACGAAAACTTCAGGATACAGTCCCTCGGCTTAGTCTATTTTAATGTTCTGCTGGGATAAATACGCACTAGAAGACAGGTTCTGAGATGCAAGTTGAATACAATTTAGTAACAAACATCAGTCAGCTAATGCAAGGAAAATATCTGCTTTCCAAAGAATGTTCTTGCTGATTTCTGCTAGTGGCAATAAACGACATTGTTTCAGAAGGTCAAGGTCCAAACACTGCCTCAAGGTTCTCTGAAACAGCCCAGGACTAGACTTGGTGGAACTCAGATTAGATCCCACACATCAGCCCTAAAAGCACTCAAAATAATTCTGCATCTTACTTGGGGCAATAGTGAAAGGACCCTTGTTACCTGGAAATGCCAAATTAGTGGTCAGGAAAGACAACACTTTCACTTGGGCTTAAACTACATTAAAAAGGAAAACAAAAAGAGAAACAAGAGGAATGACCTACTAGCCCTGCACTAGTTTGGTATTTCACTGATGATCCATAATTAGCTTGCTTTCTCGTTAATTGTATTGAAAGTTTTTACGCAAGACAATACTTGGCTTTAGGGGCTCTGAAAGGACACAATTGTAAACTCTTGTCTCCACACAGCAATTGCAATAAGCATGCTATTACAAAAATTAAAAAGTTACCCTTCCAAGCCTTTAATTGCTCAGCCCGGCCTACTCCTGCTGCTGCAAGCGATGTGAACCCCAGCAGCGAGAACACAAAACCAAACCCTGAATCCCAGTTTCCATAGGCAGAAGGACCTTACCATTTCCTGATATAATTGAAGGGAAATAACACTCCACCAGCTTTGGAAATAAACACAGCTCCCAGGATTTAAACCTGACTGTTTACTAGAGTAAAGCACGTGCTGGTACACAGGCTGGACACCAGGTGCATTCACCACAGCACAAACTTTCTCAGGGCCCGTAACTTACTTCCATCATTTCTGAAGCAAGACTTATCCGAAGCCACAGGACCCGAGAGAAAAG